ATTGGGGGGGGGGGGAGCTACACACACAAGCATTCACCACTAATTTTTGGTTTGTCTCCCCAACTGTTATATAAGCTCCATGAGGGAAGGAGTTGCCTGTCTTGCCTCTTGCTGTAACCACAGAGATGAAAACCACCCCAGGGACTCAATAAATACTTCCTGACAGAAAAATGAGGTCTTTGCTCTGCTGCCTGGCTGCATCCCACACCAACTGCAGCAGAATCCTGGGGTGTGGGGGAGGGGATGGTGATTGTTAAAGCTCCTGGGGGATTCCCATGAGCAGACAAGGTTCAGAACCAATCATCTAGGAGCAGTGAGGACCTCCACACAGGATGGATTTAAAGGGGGTGTGTGAGGAAAAGAAAGTCACTCTCTGAGCACATGCCCTGAGTCCCGCTTGTCTGCCACCTAGCATCAACACAACCAGAGATTCAGTGCTATCATATCCACAAGCTGGGAGCCAGGGCTGGTGGCCAGATGTACCTCTTAGTTCTACAGATGCGGTGCCATCAATTTATCATGGAAATTCTGGAGCAAACACCCAAGTTGTAGAAAGATGTAAGTTGGGATTGCTCTTTGAGAACCAAAGTCTGAGCTAAACTATCTGAGGCTTCACATTCCAATTTTGTCAGTTTTCAAGAATATGCTTATTTCATCTGGACTGAATGAAAGGCTTTTCAAAATATGCAACCTGAATCAGATGTATTATTAGAATTTTAAAAACCTTTAAATGCAGTTTTAACAACTTTTAAATATTTCAAGTTCTGTCTTAGTCTGCTCAGGCTGCCATAACAAAATACCACAGACTAGATGGCTTACACAACAGAAATTTATTTATCACAGTTTGAGAGGCCAGAAGTCTGAGATCCAGGTGTTGGCATGGTCAGGTCGAGGTGAGGGCTCTCTTCCTGGCTTGCAGGTGGCAGCTTTTACACTGTTCTCAAATGGTCTTTCCTCAGTGTACGTGTAGAGAGAGAGATCTCTCTTCCTTTTCTTCAAAGCCACCAATCCTATTGGTTGGGGACACCATGCTTAGATCTTCATTTAACCTTAATTACCCCCTAAAAGCCCGGTCTCCAAATACAGTCACACTGGTGGGTTAGCACTTCAACGTGTAGGTTCTGGGGGACATAATTTAGACCATAGCAAGAAACGTTCCTTTTGAAAATTTGTGGATTTTTGCCAAAAAAAATTAAAAAATTATTGGGACTCATGCTGTTATAAAAATACACACTGGTAATTTTGAGAAACATATTTGTTAAGTCACTTGGAGGACACTGACAACAGTGGACCTCAATCATTGTAGCATAAGCCACCAGGCACCCATTAGGTTATAGATTTATAGGCCACACCCCTGCCCTGCTGAATGGATGTGAGCGGCAGGCCTAGAGCCTGCAGGGAGGTGGGGAAACAATGATGTGGAGGCTTGACTTCATAAGCTCCTCCTCTGAAGCAGTTTCCACATACCATTCAGTTGGCAATTAGTCATATTCTGCCTTGTGACATATCGTCTATTTTTGTCTTGAGATATTTAAATCTTGACTTTTTTATTGAACTTTTCAAGTGTTAAGCTGTCTTATCACCCAAAAGGGATTATAAAGTGCTTGACAGCAGAGATACCTGGTATTTCTTCACAACCACAGGAGACTCAAGGACCCTGTACAAAGCAGGCACTGAATACGTATTGTTGGTCTGCTTTGCTCTACAACATTTTCATTCTTTTAATTACAAAAATAAAACATCTCTTCCCCCAAAGGACTGTCAGCAATTGAGTCAGGCTGTGTGTGGTGTGAGCTGATAAAGTGAACAGGAAGGAGGAGGAGATGCTGGGGCGGTGGGCCCTAAAGCACACCGCCTGCTGCTTCTGCCCTATTCTTTGGTGGGAACGTATGCACCCAAGGGACAGAAGCAAGCTCTTCATGTCAGTTCCCTTCACCACTTAATGTAAGTGTAGGTGTCATATAATTGTATACACGGGAGGAACCTTGGCAACATTGCCACTGGACAAAAAGGCGTGATGCAAGCTCTAGTCTGGCATCTTTTGCAATTCCTTCCCCTCCTTTGGCCACCTCTAATCAATGGCTCCTTTCTTCTTCCGTCCCCTAAAACCACATTTTCCTCCTAAGTTCACGTCCACTGCTCTCCCGGTTTTCTCACTTTGCTTCCTTCCTTCTGAATCTTTCCTCCCTTCCTTTTTGCCTGCCTCGCTACCAGCCCCCATTTCTCCTACTCGCTCTCCTTGCTCTTGGTACTAGTTCATCAAGAGTCAAAAGGAAAAAAGATCCAACTGAATATTGGAGTGGGCAAGTGAGGTCCACGTTGAAAAAGCCATTGCACTGTGCTACTAGGATAACTGGTTGTACTACATACCACAGTGGTTGCAGGCACATAACGAGGGGCACAGGCCAGTCTCTGGGGAGGGAGAATGAATGGGAGTTGAGATGTGGAAAGAACAAGCACGAAACTAATGAAAACAGATCTAATTTAACTCATGTTGTTTCAAGGCAGGCACCTGCCAGGCACTGGGGGTACAGAGATGACTCAGTTCCCTCTCTCCAGGCCCTCAGGATTCGGGGGCAGACAGAGCCCCAGCAAGACTACTGTGTTCCTCTAGGGGTCCCAGTAGCCCAACTGACAGGTGACAGGCACAGAAAACAGTGCCACTCAGTCTGCTGTCAGTGCTGGGCATAATTTTACAGGGGGTGGCAGAACATTTGAGCTGGCAGGTACTGCTGACCGGGGCATCCAGCCTCAACAGTCACTAGCTAAGGACACCGGGTGGGCAGAGTCAGTACAAACAAACAGAACAAAGTCCTTCCTTTTAGAGCAGGGGTGGGGAACCTTCTTTCTGCCAACTGGATATTTATAACATCATTTGTGGACCATACAAAATGATTAACTTAAAAATTAGCCTGCTATATTTGGTCAAACATTTAATTAACTCACCCCTAATGTGATGGCTGGAACTACTTCTCTTTGGTGAAGCCTTGGTAGGGGAAGACCAAATGATTTCGCGGCCATATACGGCTGGACATTGCCCCCTCCTGCTCTAGAGGCTCACAAAGCAGAATCGCAGGGACAGGTGTGCAGGGAGCACCCTGAGTACATCCACTGAGTAATGAAGCTAGTAGAGGAGAGGGTTTTAGAAGGAAAGAGTGTTCATCATGCAAGATCTTTAGGGATGAACAAGGAATTTTCTTGGTAGTCAGCTACAAAGGAGTTCACAGTGGATTAGTGAGGGACAGAAGCACCACTAGCAGGTGAAGAGTAGGCTGAAGGTTTGGAAATTTTAATTCTACATTCACTCGGGGGGGCGGGGGGGAGGGAAGCAGAGACAGACCTCACTATTATGTGTAGGTTGTCTCAACAGCAGTCAAGCCCTCAATGAACACGATCCACTGGAAGAGGAATCTTCACTCCAGAGCCCTGCCTGGGCCAGCTTCTCCTTCACTGACAGCCCCACCACATGAAGCCTCGTGGAATGTGGTTAAAAGCCCCATCAGAAAGTACATTTAGAGAATCATTAACTTTAGTAGGAATCTGGAAATGAAGTAGCTCTGAGGATGGCCCACGCTAGCCCACAGGCTCACATTCCAAAAATGGGCATTATCTTTGCGTGGGCTGTCAGGAACCATACCTGACAACTAGGTCACCAGTCCCTCTGGCGAGGGGGCCCACCTGATTTGCTATCCGTCCGGGGGTCCATGATGACAAACTCTGGCCGCAGCTTGCTAACGCGCCGCCCCTTGAGAATGGGCACGAGCCCGCCCAAGTACTCCAGGTAGAGTGTGTAGCATGGGCCGCCCACCTCTGGGTCGTCTTCCGTGCGCTTCATGGTGCAATGCAGACGCTCGTTGCCAGCTGAGGGGTAGCTGACAAAGTCTCGCATGTTGTTAGGGTCTGGAATCGGGGGCTGAAGGCAGGACACAGAAAAAAAAGGAGACAGTGTGGGCTCACTGGTTGCTCTGCATTAACCATGTGGCATGGAATGGTGACTGATAACTCTGGGTGCAAATGAGAATCTCCTGGGAGCTTTTAAAAAACACCTGAGCCAGAATCCCACCTCAGACAATGAAAATGCAATCTCTGGGAGGTGGGCCTGGGCATATGTATTTTCTAAAAACTCCCCAGGAGCAGAAGCAAGATTGAAAAGCAACTTGAAAAAAATCACAACAGATTCTAAAAACTGATGTTTCTGGAAAGAAGTAACCAACAAGTTAATCTAATACTTAGAAGCAGAGACAGTAAGAGAATGCAGAAAAGAACCTTAGGTTAGGGGGCAACCCACACCTGAAGAGCACCTGGCAGACACATCTCACGTGCTATCACTGAAAAGCAGTTTCGAGTTACAATCAGTATAAAGACGGCTGATGGCGCGTGCTGGGCAGGGGCTGCTCCTCCTCAGCACAGTGGTGAGCACGGTGGGCCCTAAAATTGGACTGGGCTCAACCCTGACCATTCCCATAAGGAGCTCTGGAGGAAGTTACTCGACTTTTAGGGATGCGTTTCCTGTTTTCTCAAGTGGGAGTAATGGCAGCATTGCCAGGAAGTCATGACTAAGCCTGACCGTCAGGATGACGCAGCAACCGAGCTTGGAGCCTGCCTCCGCCCCGAGAAAGCTAAAGTCCATCACTCGAGGCGAATCCCTCGCGGACACGCTGGAGATGATGCACCTGCGGCAGAGCGCGGTAGAGCTCTGCCGAGCCGCACACCATCCCACCCAGGCGCTCCTGTCAAGGGCAGGCCTGACTCCTGTGCTGCCCCGGGATTCTCAGCCATCTTCCGTCCCTGTCCTCCTCTCCGCAGGGAGAGGGGGGAGGAGGGATGGGGGAGGGAAGGAAGAGGGCTCTACCTTGATGGTGGGGATGAAGGCAGTGGAGAGGTAGGAGCAGAGGCGGGGGGGCAGGGTCAGCTTGCTGACATCCTTGTCTTCTCGCAGGGTGCTGGCGATGGCCTGCTGGCACAGCAGCTGCAGGCTGGACACCCGGTGCTCCACACGTACCACGTACAGGGCCGGTCCTGAAGCCATCAGCAATCTGGAGTCCCGGTGGCCCCAGCAGATGGAGATGATGGGGCGCTGCCGGGAAGTGAAGGGCAACCACACGTGAGCTTTTACTCTTGCAAGCAAAGGAAGACCATGCATGCTTGTCTCAAGCAAAATAAAGTGACTTAATAGTTTTTGAGAGTATTTGTTTAAAAAAGTACAATAAAGAATGCTCAATACTGTATTATGAAAATTCAGTACTTCCATCGAAAAGTAGTTAGCTCCTCAGGCCAGAGTACAGATAGAGTACTGGAATAGTTTTACAAAGTTCTTGCACATGTATTATCTCACTTAATTTAGTGTCATAAAACCTAATGTAGCGGTGTTTCTACCAGAAGATGCAATCATCTTAGGGTACAGTAATCCATACTCCTTACTAAAGCTCTGATTATCTGGATCCCCCAAATAACTGGTGGTGGTTCCCATGGCTGGGGCAGATGGTGATGAGGTAGACCAGAAGGCCCTTTCCTTTTCTCCTGACAGGGAGCAGGTTAGAGTCAAATCAATACTGGATTTGGGGCAGGAGCTGTGTGACCTGGGGGCTATTACATAACCTCTGCAAGTCTACTTTCTTATGCGTCAGTGGGAGCTGTGAGCATTAAAGGAGATGAAAGATGTCAAAGTGCTACAGGGACCATTCACAGGTCATACCTGACACGTTAAGTCACTGTGATACTCAGCCGTAGTGCTGATTGGGGCCGAGAGAAAGTAGAGAGGTAGCTGGAACGGGGAGAGAGAGGGAACACAGGTTCTCGGGTAGCCTCTTGGGGGTTTGTTGCCATTACCTGCTTTGAAAAGGCAGGCCGACATCCAAATGTGCAAGTAGAAACTGCCTGTACTGAAAAAACTCAAAGCTCAGGGGCGCCGTCTAAGTAAGATTAGCCAAGGAAGAAAGAAAAGTGAAAGCCGGGATGGAGAAGCAGTGAGAGAATTTGTTTATTCCAAGCCAGGCAGATGGGAGCTCTAATTTAATGAGGTCTTGAGGGGTTTCAAAGATGAGAAGTGGGGATACCAGATCTTTTATATGAATGACAGATAGGAACAGAATTTTCACAACACTTTGGTGACAAACATCAAGATAAAAGGAACACATAAAGACGCTTGCTTAAAATAGCCCCCGGGGGTCAGCTAATCCTGGTTTCAACTTCAAAACAAACTGCTAGGCTGAAGATAATTCAACTTCCATTTCCATCACAGAGAGGACCAGGGAGCCTGTAACTCAAGTCTGGGGCTTCCAAAAACTTCCAAGATGGGTCCTTTGGACTCTTTACAAGAGGGTCCCACACAGAAGGAAGACCCCATAGAGAGACCTATAATTTAGAGCAAGGCTACTCACTGCTGAAGACAGTGCAGACGACACATAAAAAATACACAATGTTCTTTGGTATCATCAATCCCCATAAGTGAAGGTCAGGACAGAGGTCTACTAATACCAAAATCATGATTAATCTTAAAGACATGCTACTGCCCCCAACCCCAACCCTGAGTCTCCTAAGATATTTACAACCTAGAGCTCAAGTAATGAAGAAGAGTTTTCAATTAGCACAACCTGACTGGTCGGAACTGGCTGCAGAAACACCAGAAACTTCCTCCTCCAACTTCCCATTACTTTTGAATCCTACCTGCCACTCCAACGGTCACACAGAAAGGCTACATGTATTCCTCCTCCAGTCCCCTCCCTCCTAGTTCTGCTTTCCATAGTAACCATCTCTGTGTGATGATAGTTGACTGCATGCTTTGGGAGGGTTTTAAAATCATCATCATGATGAGTATGTATCTCTTACATCCTGTACAAAGGAACTTAAACCAGGTATACAGACCTTCAAACTGCATAAAACCTTCTCTGTTACATTTACATGTATTGTCACTACTCCCCATCGTAACAGAAATAACGGTCATGGTTTAAAAACTTACTACATTCCACTGACACACTACACTGTTTAACAAGCACACATGCCATCTCCTCTAACTCTCGAAGCCCCCACGGAGGTATCCACACTCCCATTTAACACAGGAAGGAGTGAAGCTGAGAGGCCGAGGTCCTGGTTGCAGATACTAGTGGGAGAGCTGATTCCCACCCCTTTCTCCTCCACAGCTGCTGCTCACCTTACTGCCTCTAGTAACTGTCAGTATATAACCTCGTAAAGATGTGTGATGTCCTACTAAAAAATTAAACTGTCAATCACAAATAAAGAAATGAATCCAAATTCTCCCCATAGCTTCTCCTTAATTCCTTTGGTCAAGGCTATTTTTTTTACTCAGAAACAAACCAAAACACAAGTCTGTAGAAAAGGCAAATAGTTCAGAGGAGAAACAGGGCTGCATAAATAGCAAATGGATGACAGGAATGATTCATTATGGCAGAAAAGAATCCACTGGTCATGTAGGCCCACAAGTGGAGAGAAATCAGCCAAGCAGTACTGTTAGGTGAGCACGCAACAGCCGGAGGCACATCTCGAAGGTGAGGAGGGGCTGTGCTATTCCACACTGGGCATGGCATTGAGCAGGAAAACACAATTCTTCACAAAAGGGTGCGAAAGGACCTGAAAAGATTGAAAACTAGAACCAGCAGAAAAGAGCGAAAACTTTTTAGCCTGGAGAAGTGAATCCTGCAGGGCCTCAAAGGAAAAACTGTTATTTGCAGCAGTGTTACCAGGAAATGCGGTCTCCTAAGAGGAGGATGAGGGTACATAGGAAAGCAATCTGGGGCACAGCATTCACTTAGTTGCCCAAGCCAGTGACAGTTTATGCCAGCATGGGAATAGGGGGGAGGGTGCTCATTATCTTAGTTTTTATAGCAGATACTCCCTGTATGAATACTGGTACCTTTGCCATAATTAAGGTCGTATTAGAAAAATAAGGAAGAATTCATAAATAGTGAGAGCTGCCCCTCTTGACTGAAGATTCTGAGGTATCTGATGTGGGGAAATTATTGTAATGACAGTTGAGTCTGAGGCTGTGCGCGACAGGGCCATGATCTCAGGAACATTGTTAAGTCCTGTAAACCTGTAGAAAGTCCTTTCGCACGGGATCTAATGCACAGCATGGTGATTATAGTTCATAATATTCTTTACTATGCACTTGCAAGTTGATGAGAGTAGATCTTAAATTTTCTCACCACAAAAAAGAAATGGTGAGCCCTGGCCGGGTAGAGCTCAGTTGGTTAGAGTGTTTGCCCCAATACTCCAAGGTTGTGAGTTCGATCCCCAGTCAGGGCACATACAGGAATCAACCAATGATGCATAAATAAGTGGAACAACAAATGGATGTTTCTCTCTCCCTCTCTCTCTCCCTCTCCCTTCCTCTCTCTAAAATCAATCAATAAATAAAAATTTAAAAAAGAAATAGTGATTATATGGTGTGACGGAGGTGTTAGGCAACACAATGGTGGAAATCATGTTGTAATATATAATTGTATCAAATCCACCTGTTGTACACCTTAAATATACTCAGTGCTAAACGTCAATTATATCTCAGTAAAGCTGGAGAGCGAGAGTGCAACAGAGAGAAAGAGGGAGGAGAAAATACACACATGCATACAAGCATTTGCACACAGACATAAGTCCTTTTATCCCATGACATCATATTTTTTAGTCTCATTTCCAGTTGGTGCTCATTTTCCTGTGCTCTTTACTGGTACTCCAGACTACAGAGGCCTGGCTACAAAATGTTCTGTTGTTGTGGAGATCTAAACAAGACTAAAAGTGCCAGTGACTACCTGTGCTTGCAGACATGGGGCAGGGGGCTTTTACCAGAGTTAAGTCTTGACTTAGCTGCCTCACAATCAGTGACGTCTGCCACTCTGTCCTCTAGGACCACGGTCAGCCTGCCTGCAGCCCTCCCCCACAGACTGCTGTAACCTCCCTAAAACTCCCACCACCTGGGATCAGCTGCTGCAGAACAGAAAGGCACCCAATGTTCAAGTCCAGTAAATCTGGAGGCACTCCAGGGGACACACCCACCCACCACCCACAGGTTAATGCTTTTGTTTGAACAGCTGCTGTCTGCCAGGGAAACACTCAGGTGTAAATCTTTGGACAATCTCTTTCTCAAATCAAACAAAATAACCATTTTTAGAAGTGATGGCTAGAACTGTGAAACTGATAACATTCAAATCCTAATTTGTGTAGTTCACCTATTTCATGCATCGAAATTAGAGGCAAAAGGGGAGGAAAGTGAGCTGCCTTTTGGAGGGGTGTTAGTGAGGCGGCAATCCAGTGCTTAGGTGAGTCTGGTGCAACAGTGAGGGGCACGGCCCAGGTGGGGAGGTAAGGGGTTAATGCACAGGCACAGGTACTACGGGTTCAGGTCTAGACCACCACAGTAAAGGAAGTATGACAGTAAAGTGAGTCAAAATCTTTTTGTTAGTGGAGAGTCTTGCCTTGAATTTGTAAAAAACCACAATACTTGTGAAAGGCAATAAAGCAAAGCACAATAAAGCAAGAGCAATAAAACGAGGCATACCTGGACAGTCAAGGGTCCACATCTCTCTCTCTCACTGCTGGTGCTGAGCCATTTAAAAGGAGTGCAGGTTAGTTTGCTCCCATTATTCCCCTGCCATAGCACAATGGAACAGCATGGTCAAGGGCCAGTTTCAACTGCTTACGGCATCCAAAGACATGACAAATACCCCCTAAACCCCTCCCCTGCCACTATACAATAGAGGCCATGCATCCGTCCAGTCATTTATTCATCTACTGAGCTGCCAGTCAGTCATTCAGTAAACATCTGTTAAGTGTGTACAATGGGCCAGACAGACTGTAGGTGTGAGAGTAAGATCAAATCCTCGGCCTCATGGCACTGACATTCTGAGAGTGGAGGGAGAGAGAGAGAACTTAGTACCTGCCCAGACTATTCGATACTGTCAGGTGGTGAAAGTGCAATGAAGTAAAACTAAAGTAGGGAGGGTAAGGAGTGAGACAAAGAGCAGGGGGTTGTTTCAGCAGAGGTCGTTTCAGCAGAGGCCCGACTGAGATGAGGAAACTAACTGATCTATTTTTGAATTGGAATGAACGCTTCCTCACTATGTTACTATTTTTGTATACAGTAGTGAGTTAGGTGAACTCTAAAAATGTAAGAGAAATACAAAGCAGGGTGTGCTTTCCATATTAAAGATAAGCTGATCAAGCAGGATAAAAGTCAATAGACAACAAAAGGGTCAAAGAGAGAGAAAACAGGGCCATCCACCAAACACAAGGTCTCTGCAGCATGAGCCCTGGGCTGAGGCCTGCTACCTGGCCCACTGAGGGGTCCCATCCTGTGAAGGTCACTGCAGCCTGTCCCTCCTGTCTGCAGCTCCCCCATGAAGAAGCTGGGGATCTCTGTCTTAGAGCAAATGCACATCAAATGTCTAACAGCCCCAGCAGATGGGGATATTTAATGTTTGCACAAGAGGGTGTAAGGAAGGAAAGCTTTCTATAATAGCTCACTTTCAAACAGACTAAGCTGGTGACTAGTCACCAACAAATGGCGTTGGACATTTTTGAATATCATGTTACAATGATTTGGCCACCAACTAAGTTAAATAAAAGCTAGCTCAAGATTTAGTCACCCCAATCTCAGTTTTAAAAGAATACACCATTTTGTATTTTGTAAGCAGCTAACTGGGGAAAGGACTTACTCACCTATTTAGGACAAAAAGGCAAAGCACACCCATGGCAGCTTCGTGAGAACAGGTAGAGTGAAGCTAATCCACAACAAAAGGAGGCAAACATACTTTTGCTAAAGGGTTCTCCTTCAAGAGGGTAGAAGTCTGTGACCATAATGCAATCTCTCATTTGATTTTCCAGTTTCCACACCTACCTTCTTCTTTTTCCTTCTCCTGTAATTTTTTTACCCAAATATCCTACACATCAATGATAGAATCTTATAAGATATAAGGTGGCCCCTCCCACTTGCCTTTAATGCAAGAAAAAGTTCGTAAAGCTACAACGAAACAAAACTGACCGACTGACCCACCACCAACCAAGACTCAAATGACTGAAGCCAGCAAGCTTCAGTCAGCAGTGCTAACTCTGAAAATCTGTGTCAGGTGAACAGATATGCTATTATATATAGATGGTCACAGATGACAGCCAAAGAGATAAATTATAGGATTTTAAATTACAACAGGTAGGAAGGAAAGGAAAATAAATTATAGTAAATTTCCTTATAAGAGCTTCAGCCACAGGCATCACTATTATGAGTAAATCAGGAGAATCAATTTTAAAACTGAGGCTGCTGCAAGTTAGTGCTTGGCAATGGCTTTGTACGCAATAACCTACAATCTAATTAGCTTGGAAATAAATTATCCAATCTAAACTGCATTAAATTCTTTTTATAAACAGTTCAATAAATTGCCTAACTTCCTTCCTGCTATAAAAATGTCCCTGCCTTTGGATTCCTTGAGTAGCACAGCACAATAACATGTGATTTTAGAATCATTCTAGACAAGAAAAGTTGGTGCTATATATTGTACTTGATTTTTAATAGCATCATTATTTAACTTTATATAATTGAGGCAATTTTTTCAATGGTTGAAACAACCGTTCAAATGAAAAAACAAACAAACAGTCAATAATTAATTAAAATGCTGAGACACTGTATGGATATTTTTCCCCAGAGAAAGATCAGCCAAGTCCCTCTCTAATCCCCAAATGCAGACAGACAGTTTAAATTCAACACCCATGATACTTCTATGTTAAAGCTGATGAGAGCTTTTGCAACAGTTAAGGCCACTGAGCCTCTATTACATTCCAGGCATGGCGAAGGTCAGGAAGATGAAGAAAACGTGGTCTTTGGCTTCAAGAAAATAAAGCAAGTGGACAGAAAAGCGTGATACATGCCAGAGGTATGAAGCACCCAAGGGTTCATAGAGAAGAGAAGCTGAAACCACTGGGTAGAGTTACAAAAGAATGCGACTGGTCTGGCGTTGAGCAGGATAGACTCTCCCACGCTGGGCGGCAGGAAGGAGCCTTCCCTACCGAGGGGAGAGATGCTGCGGAGGGCGCCCTGTGCCAAGAGAAGAGTGGACAATGCTGCGCGCACTTGTGTGTTTCAGCACCACAATTCACAAACGTCCTAATAAAAACAAAAGCCTTATTGATTCAGAAAGAGCTGAAAATTCCCATCCTCTCCTACTTGCCTTCCAGTTAAGCTACAGATCTAAAGCTGGTATGAGATCTGACTGATAAGGGCACACAGCCTACTGGTTCATACAACCAACAGAAAGAACTAAAGAAAGCATATGATGACAACTGTCCAGCCATCAATCCACTGAACAAGTATTTACTGAGCACCTACTACGTTCCAGGCAATGCACTGGCAGAAGGGTCAAACTGTAAACACGGTTAACTCTCCTTCAATCCCAAATGTGCAGGGACTCCAGTACCTATGCTGATTTTCCCATACACCTTGGCCTCACACTAATGGTTTCAACTCGACTCCACTGTAGCTCTTCCCCAGTTAGTGTGCTTCATCACTCAAAACTACTTCACTTCTAAAATAGGAATAGTAATCTGAATTTCCTATCCAACCACAAATTCCCACCCTGTTTTTATCACTTCCTCTTGAACATGCCTTATCATGACTTCACCCTCCCTAGTCTCAGGTCATAAAGCATCTACCCAGACTTCATAACATCCCCAGTAGTTCCTAAATCTTCAATTTTTTGTGTTTTTCTACTGTATTAATCTTTCCAATTCCTAATTTTAGGCAATCTGTACTACTCCTGCCCCTAGGGATTGTAAAGAAGGCATGAATAGCATTGACTCACTTTAAAAATCACACTCTCCAGCTTTGGTTGGAACCTAATTTCAGCTTATTATCTTGACTGACTCCTGCGTTATACTCCTATACACTAGCACTTAGAGATTAGAGCTCAGTGCTAGCCACACAGCAGCCCCTCAAAATGTTTGCTGGATACTTGAAAAAATGCTTATTTGCCCACAGAAGATAATGCATTGTTAAAAGATATATTTAAATTCTGTAACTCAACAACAACAAAAATAATCCAACAAAAAAACTGGCAGCCCTGGCTGTATAGCTCAGTTGGTTAGCGTGTTGTCCTGATATGCCAAAGGTTGCAGGTTCTATCTCTGGGGTCAGGGCACATACAAGAAGCAACCAATGAATGCATAAATGGGTGGAGCAACAGATCGATGTTTCTCTCTCTCTCTCTTACCCTCTCCCGTCCTCTTTCTCTAAAAATCAATAAAAATATATTAAAAATAAATAAAATAAAATTGGCAAGGATCTTGAAGAGACATCTCTCCAAAGAAGCACAGACGGCCAATAAGCAGATCAAAAAGCACAAGAAAAGATGCTCAACATAATAATCAGGGAAATACTAATCAAAACCTCACACCCATTAGGATGGCTACTATAAAAAAATACAATAGAAAATAACAAGTGTTGGCAAGAATATAGAGAAGACAGAACCTTTGGGCACCATAGGCAGGAATGTAAAATGGTGCAGCCACCATGAAAAACAGTATGACAGCTCCTCCAAAATTAGAAACAGAACCACCATATGATCTAGCAAGTCTACTGGGTATTTATCCAAAAGAGCCGAAAGCAGTTTTTCAAAGACACATTTGTATGCCCTTGTTCACAGCATTATTATCCTTGATAGCAGAAAGGAGGAAAGAACCCAAACGTCCACTATCCGCGAATGGATAAAATAGGATATATATATATACACACACACACACATATATGTAAAATGACATATTATTCAGCCTTAAAAAGGAAGGAAATTCTGGCACATGCTACAACGTGTATGAGCCTTAAGGACATTAAGCTAAGTGAAATTTTAAAAAGTCACAAAAAGACAAACATTGTATGACTGCACTTATATGAGGTATGTAGAATAGTCAAATTCATAGAAACAGGATGCTATTAAAGTTTCAGTTTTATAAAAAAGTTCTAGAGATTGGTTACACCACAATGGAATACACTTAACACTACTAAACCACTTAAAAATGGTTAAGATAGTAAATTTTGTTATGTGTATTTTGCTATAATTTGTTTTGAAGATACATTTAAATAATTTATGCCTGCATCTAATTACAAAATACCCCAGTCTGGTATACCTGCCTCTCTGAGGAGCTGGGTAAGGTTAGGACATAAGTCCCTAGTTTATTATTACCCCCATCAATCATCAACTCACTCTCCGCTCTCTGTCCAGTACTCCCTGCTAAGAATTTCATCTTCTACTGTAACTGACTTGGACAAGAAATGAACTGGTCTAGAGATTTCTGGAACATAAAAACAAACAGAAAGGGGCCCACCTGTGTAGACTTTCTTAAAGACCTTTAAGCTTTTAAACATTGTTTAACAGTAACTTAGTTGAATATAAAAGTACATTACTGGCATAACAAACATAAAATCCTAGTGAAAAAAAATGAAGATTCAGCATTCACTTTTGCACATTTCTGATTCTACTTCACTGTGATGATAAACACTAGGTCACTCTGCTTACTGTCCACTCATTTGGGTAATGAAATAAATTATTTTGGTTAAAAGGCAAAAATGTCTTTCTCCCTATTTTTCATGGTTCATATCCCATAATATAATTAAAGTCAACAAAAGATTAAAATCTGTCAAAGACAATTACAGTGAGCATAACCAACTCACAAGTATGTTATGGAGACTGGCGGCACACTAACACAGGGCATCACAGTGAGTGCCCCACACACAGCCTTACTTGCACAAGTGTGTCCAGTGTGAAGATGTGCTCCCCACGAACATTGTAGAACTTGACCATGGCACTCTTCAGGAGAGGGCCATTGGGAAGGTCGCCAAGCTGGGTTTGCCGTTCCATACCAGCAACCGCGAGGAGGTCTCCCTGCGTGCACCACTGGGCAACCACCTCTGAAATCACAAAGAAGAAATGGTCAGCTTAAAACATGACCCTCCCTGAACTTTCACTTAAGTAGTTTAAAAAACAGAGATGCTTAGCAAACACAACAGCAGTTCTTCCCTTTTCTCTCATAAAGATATTGGCTACCGATTTCTCTGAAGGCAACAAAGACTCTATTAAAAACAGGTTTTATTACTTAGATAGGAATTGCAGTGCCCCGAAACATAACTAAATCAGGCAAAGACAACATACGATAAAGCTGGCATGTTAAACATCTATCTCTAATGCCAGCATTTCCATAGTAGGACTTGCAGAGCTCTGAGAGAGCAGCCAAGGTAATAAAACCTGTGACTGTATATCCTAAGTGCTTTTCCCATTGTTGTGCATCCCCCCCCCC